CTATGTTGTTTGTGTATATAATAAATAATAATGGTCCAAGTACTGAGCCTTGGGGAACTCCACTAATGACGTAGCCCCAATCGGATTTAGTGCCCTTAATGCTCACTCGCTGTTTCCTGTCCTGTAACCACGCCCTAATCCATTTTAGAATATCTCCTTTAATGCCATGAGCCTCCACTTTTGTTATTAGTCTGTTGAAGGCTTTGCTAAAGTCAAGATATACCACATCGTAATTGTGCCCCTCGTCCACTGATTCGAAAACAGATGAAAAGTATGTTAACAGATTAGTTAGACATGAACTGTACAGTGTACAGTTCAGGAAGATTACAATGAGGTACCGGTACCTAATGATAAAAGAAAATATAGGAACAAATTTTGAAGGGAATGGTTGCCATAGTGTACTGCTTATAAATGAATAAAGTTGTTTAGGAGGGAATTGATAAGATGGCAGAACCAAGAGAAAAAAAGGGAATTGCAATTGAAAATGAAAACTGAGATATTGTAAATTGCAGAAAAGGAGAAAGATCTCACTAGGGAGACTTGGACACTGCCCATTATGGTAGTTTACTGTTAAGTGGTGGAAATAGTTCTCTAAAATGACTACAGTACTAGACATTTCCTTGATGTTATTTTACTGTACGGTACTGTACAGTACTTCGCAGTTATTTCTATAAAATTTGCATTCAGTCTTTCACCATTCCCTCTAAATAGATACAGTAGAAAAAACAGTACTTATGGTTAAGTTTCTGGTCATTTTTGGTACAGTATGTACTTACAGTATGTGTGTCATGGATATGCTATATTTACCATCAAGTTTCCAACTACCTTTCTTACCATTGCTACAGGTGTTCTTTTCCTGTTCCTCCTCATTTTTTTTAAATGCTTTTTGTTTTTTCACATTCCAAACAGATAGTTCTTCTTCTCTCACACATTACATTTAATAAAATACTGAGATAATGCTCACCATCTCACTTTTATTCCCTCGTGTATACCTTGCCAGGGTCTAGCTACTCGGCAACTCTGAATGACAGTGATAAAAAAAAACATTATCCCCTATGTTCATACCTGTGTGTTGAAGGCTATGCACTTGCTATGAAGTTACTCAGCAAAGGAGAAATTTTGAGTTTTGCTGAAAGCATCACATGGACATTTAGTTTTCATTACTTCATTGAGTAAATGATTTAGGGTCTTAGTCCTTAGTCACAGGAAAGTCCTTTAATATGTGACTTTAACAAAACTACTAGCATGGTTGCAGTGGTCAGTTGTGTTGTGTGGTGGTTATGTTTGTGGTAGGTTAATGTGTGTGTGTTGGAAGGTTAATGTGTGTTGTGTGTGGTGGTAGGTTAATGTGTGTGTGTGGTGGAGGTTAATGTGTGTTGTGTGGTGGTAGGTTAATGTGTGTGTTGTGTGTGGGGAATGTGTTGTGTGTGGTGGTTAATGTGTGTTGTGTGGTGAAGGTTAATGTGTGTTGTGTGGTGAAGGTTAATGTGTTTGGTGTGTTTGGTGGTAGGTTAATGTGTTGTGTGGTGGTAGGTTAATGTGTGTTGTGTGGTAGTGGTTAATGTGTTGTGTGGTGGTGGGTAATGTGTTGTGTGGTGGTAGGTTAATGTGTGTGTGTGGTGAAAGGTTAATGTGTGTTTTGTGGTGAAGGTTAATGTATGTTGTGTGGTGAAGGTTAATGTGTGTTGTGTGTGGTGGTGGTTAATTGTGTTGTGTGATTGTATTAAATTTGTTAATGTGTGTTGTGTGGTGAAGGTTAATGTGTGTTGTGTGGTGAAGGTTAATGTGTGTTGTGTGGTGGTAGGCTAATGTGTGTTGTGTGGTGGTAGGTTATGTGTGTGTTGTGTGGTGAGGTTAATGTGTGTTGTTGTGTGTGAAGGTTAATGTGTGTTGTGTGGTGGTAATTATGTATTTGTGTGTGGTGGTAGGTTATGTGTGGTGATATGTGTTGTGTGTGTGTGTGTTGTGTGGTGGTAGTTAATGTGTGTTGTGTGGTGGTAGGTTAATGTGTGTTGTGGTGAAGGTTAATGTGTGTGTGTTGTGTGGTGTGGGTTAATGTGTGTGTGTGTGGTGTAGGTTAATGTGTGTTGTGTGGTGAAGAGGTTAATGTGTGTTGTGTGTGGAGTTGTCTTGATGTGTGGTTTGTGTTTGTGTGGTGAAAGGTTAATGTGTTTGTGTGGTGGTAGGCTAATGTGTATGTGTGGTGGTAATTTGTGTGTGTGTGTTGTGTGTGGTGGTAGGTTAATGTGTGTTGTTGTGGTGAAGGTTAATGTGTGTTGTGTGGTGAAGGTTAATGTGTGTGTTGTGTGGTGAAGGTTAATGTGTGTTGTGTGGTGGTAGGTTAATGTGTGTTGTGTGGTGGTAGGCTAATGTGTGTTGTGTGGTGAAGGTTAATGTGTGTTGTGTGGTGGTTGTGTGTGTTTGTTGTGTTGTGTGTGTGTGTGGTAGGTTAATGTGTGTTGTGTGGTGGTAGGCTAATGTGTGTTGTGTGGTGAAGGTTAATGTGTGTGTGTGTGTTTGTGTGGTGGTAGGTTAATGTGTGTTGTGTGGTGGTAATGTTAATGTGTGTTGTGTGATGGAAGATGAACCGCATATTGGAACATATTTGGTAAGGTATCAAGGAAGATTAAGGGAGATGTATGGTACAGTACTCACGATGTCAGATATGCTCTTTTGTACAGGAAAGGTCTAGCAAGAAGGAAAGTTTGTTTGGTTTTTCTTTGGTGATTATAATTTATTTTAGAATAATAATAATAATAATCTTACATCTCACATTGAAATGACTATTTGTTTCTTTATTTTGGTTGAGAAAATTAAAACTACAAGAAGAAAATATGGCTAGATAAAAAGTGTAAAATTCAGAATTTACCTGAAAATATTATTAGAAATAAGAAAGAGGATGAAGAAGAAGTGAGGGAAGAGAATGGTGTAGATGATCCCAAAGAAAAGTTAATAAAACCTGAAACTGAAAATGACAAGAGTTTTACTGCTGCAACTCCTTTGAGAGAAAAGGATGACAAAGCTGAAGAAGAAACAGCCGTGTAGGGAAGGAAGCAAGAGGAAAGGAAGCAGGGAGATGTATGTGAGGCAAAAGTCGAGCAAGGGTAGGAAGTCATAGGTGGTACAATGCTGAGCATTTAGGAGAGGGACGAGGCCACAAAGAAGATGCTGTTGCTAAGGGAGGAAGAGGAAGAGAAGGGGCCGAACATTGAATAGCAAGGAAGGCAATTCAAACATGTATAAATAGAATCTGAAAATAAAAGCTGGCGATTATATATAACGATGACATAATTTATTGATCTATCTCTCTCTCTCTCTCTCTCTCTCTCTCTCTCTCTCTCTCTCTCTCTCTCTCTCTCTCTCTCTCTCTCTCTCTCTCTCTCTCTCTCTCTCTCTCTTCTCTCTCTCTCTCTCTCTCTCTCTCTCTCTCTCTCTCTCTCTCTCTCTCTCTCTCTCTCTCTCTCTCTCTCTCTCTCTCTCTCTCTCTCTCTCTCTCTCTCTCTCTCTCTCTCTCTCTCTTTCTCTCTCTCTCTCTCTCTCTCTCTCTCTCTCTCTCTCTCTCTCTCTCTCTCTCTCTCTCTCTCTCTCTCTCTCTCTCTCTCTCTCTCTCTCTCTCTCTCTCTCTCTCTCTCTCTCTCTCTCTCTCTCTCTCTCTCTCTCTCTCTCTCTCTCTCTCTCTCTCTCTCTCTCTCTCTCTCTCTCTCTCTCTCTCTCTCTCTCTCTCTCTCTCTCTCTCTCTCTCTCTCTCTCTCTCTCTCTCTCTCTCTCTCTCTCTCTCTCTCTCTCTCTCTCTCTCTCTCTCTCTCTCTCTCTCTCTCTCTCTCTCTCTCCTCTCTCTCTCTCTCTCTCTCTCTCTCTCTCTCTCTCTCTCTCTCTCTCTCTCTCTCTCTCTCTCTCTCTCTCTCTCTCTCTCTCTCTCTCTCTCTCTCTCTCTCTCTCTCTCTCTCTCTCTCTCTCTCTCTCTCTCTCTCTCTCTCTCTCTCTCTCTCTCTCTCTCTCTCTCTCTCTCTCTCTCTCTCTCTCTCTCTCTCTTTCTCTCTCTCTCTCTCTCTCTCTCTCTCTCTCTCTAG